TCCGATCATAATTGAAATAGATGAAAGGGGCGCATTTAATTCTAGCTAGTCCCTCACGTATCCCACGGTTGTTGTTTTTCGCTCTCTCTACTATCTATGACTTTGTGTAGTACTAGTACTGTTGTAAAAAAGTCAATCTATCCTATGTGAAATATCATAGACGTCGTGCGCCATCGTGGATTGACAGTTAAGTAGTGTTGTAATTTGTTACGGTTTGATAAGCGAGTCAGTTTTCTCACTTGCCACTGTAATTCCGGGGTGTTGCGTAGGTGAAAACTTGTATTGAAACTCACATTTTTGAGGTGACCGTAGTTTACAAGAATTATCAGTACTACCCTTTACATATTTTCGAATTGCCTCTCAAGCTACCATGAAGCAATTATGAGTGGCAACTAAGTCAATCCTTAAAATCCGATCATAATTGAAATAGATGAAAGGGACGTCTTTAGTTCTAGCTAGTCTCTCACGTATCTCACGGGTGTTGTTTTTCGCTCTCACTATTATCAATGACTAGTACTATTAACTTCAAAAACATGCTTAGTTAATTTAAGAAGTTAGTCACTTTATCATTCAAACTGTCATTAGACATTCTTCGTGAGTGTGTGTTTTCGTAATTTGTAATTTTTACATTATGTGATGTCAGTAATATTATGAAAATATCAAACAAATAAATTAATCATTTATAGTCTGTTTCTGCTGTAAAGTATACCGGAAGTGGCCACAGGTATAAAAAGGGTTTGGGCAGCATGAGACCCGATCAAGTGTTTCTAATTACTCCCTTCCTTTTTCTTTTTAAAATTCTGCACACCTATGAGGAAAAAGCCATTAATTTTTAACATACTTTAGCAATGATAACAAACTAGAGGAACTTTGTGAGCCACGCACCTTTCCCTGGAATCGTATAAAATGATGCTCAACTTTACAATTTCCATTGCCAAGTTTTGGAATTTACGAGTAATATATCTCCCAGATTCTATAGAGTGGAGTATAATGGACGTCAAACATACATTTCTAGTAAGTAGAGTCTGAAATGTTTGAAGGTAAATCCCTTTTTGTAGTTCAAGGAGCATCTCCATACCAAAAAGGAAACAAAAAACCTTAGTCTAGTGTCAAAATTCACAGAAGTTTCATTAGGAAATTTTTAAAAGTACTTCTTTCGTGTTATGTTCTATTTAAAAATGAAAATTGTCGACTTTCAATTAATACTATGTCGTGAAAAAGAAAACTTATAGGTACCTACTTTAACTTTTTTTTTAGATCTGGTTTTAGGGAATCGTAGCCGTTCTTAAGATAATTAACTTTTCGTCATTTTAATAATGAAATGAGTCAGGTGATGCGTACCTTTCTCTTTTCGGCGACGGATTCTCACGTGTTTAAAGCAATTTGATTTTAAAAGCCGTTACAAACTTTCTAAAGTGCGTTCAGTGAATCTAATTTCTCGAACCATGGCCTCAAAACCAAGTCAGTTTTCAGTTTTCTCCAAGTTACGTTGTGCTCCACTAGGCTAACTGATACCGCTTTCATAGCTTTCAAGATCAGGAAATCACCACTTGATAGGTTTGGTCTGACCGTGTTTTCTAGAAGAAGGTGACGTGCTTGTTTCGAAATGCAATGCCGCAGAGTCTAAAGCCACTTATGTCCGTATGAAAAGGCATACCAATTTTTTTATATGTATATTTTTTGAGAATACTTTTCGTTTTCGTTTTTATCTCAAAGAGATGCGTCTTGTTCTGTGCTTTCTATAAAAAATTTTGAACATTTCTGACCATGATTTAAAGTCGGAAACTGACACGTGTCCTGATTGTTTGCAATGCAATGCATTGCTTCCAAGTTTCACGCTCAAGAGGTTTGGCTAGCTAAGTATTTTCCATTTTCACGTAAACGTGAAACACCTGCCTCCCGTTGTCTAATGATCTATTAGATAGAAAATGTTTGTGTCGATCGGATAATACAGTTCTTTGGCTTTGGGCTCAACTTTTAATTCTTTTAGTTCACAAAATTGTGATCAAGAACCGCAAGTTCTCGATGAATTAATGCTTCATTTGCTGTTTATGATTATGTACGCATAAGTCAGCTATAGATAGCATGTCATTGGTTGATGTTAGCTTAGTCCGAAATTTTTCCGTTTTTACCTCTAAGGAAATGCATCTTGTTTTTAGCTTCCTAGCAATATTTTGACTGATCATGGTTTAAAGCCGGTAAACTGACACGTGTCCTGATTGTTCGTAATGCTCTGCATTGCTTCTTAGTTATACGCTTAAGAGGTTTAGCTTGCTAAGTATTTTCCATTTTCACGGGAATTTGTAACACCTTTCTTCTTTTGTCTTATGATCTATTGGACAGAAAATAATTGTATCAGACGGATATTGTAGCTTTTTGGCTTTGGGCTCCACCTTCAATTCTTTTATTTAACAAAGTTGCCAACAGGACCTACACGTTCTCTAGAAACTTCTTCTTAAAGGTGTTTGGTTGGTACGGTTTGTGAACTCACACAATGATTTAACATCGCGCAAGCAAGTCTTTAAAGATTTTTTTATCATATTTTTACTTCATATTCTTTTCAAAGATAATCATGAATGAAAAACCATACTCAGCACAAGTAAGAGATTCCATTAAGTTGATAATGCAGTCATGTTACTTCAATACGTTGATGCATAAACATTGTGTCGCCTTTTACAATCAGTAAAGAGACTCTAAACAAAAGGTTACTCTAGTACATCGTAACTATTTCATCTTCGGGATAAAGATAACATAGATGGGAAAATATCTAGCATAATAATATATATCTCCCAATCGCCCACTGAAGAACTATTCAGAGATTTAGGCGAATGTAGTCGAGTTGAAAAAACACCTAGCTGTTATAACTTCCTTATAAACTCCCACAACTAAAAGAGAAAAACAACAGAACAACAAACATTGAATGCAGTAAATGTCAAGAATGATAGCAAGGAAATAGTTAATAATTGGTAGAAGGAAACTTAATATCAAATTGAACGCATCTAAGAAGAGGTAATTTGTATTAGCACAAGATCCTCTACTCCAAGTTTAGAGAGGGGTTCTTTTCAGACTGGCCGAAATATTGATGTACAAATAACTAATCGTTTTGACTTCAATGTTCCTGAATTTTGACACAATTGGCCATTTACAATGTTGTCACATGAATTGAATAATATTCTCTGCGAAGCGTAACTGATCTCTAATGAATGAAAAAAGGAGAGATTTAATCGGAAGGTGTCTTTGGACAGTTGGCTGAAATCGGACAGTTAAAGCAACCAGTCATACTAAGTCCACTCAGTAAAATCCACCAATCACAGAGTTGATTTTAATAACCATCGCATCAACCACTTACCCAACAAAACTTGGGAATTTCCAAAATGGAGGATTTTTTATTTTAGACAATGTCTCTATTAGAGATATTTTTTAAAATTTTTTCTCGGAGTTTTTAAAAGTCATAATTGTTGCTAATAGGACTTTGTGTCGTCTAATTGGGTCTGTAATCATACTCTTGCTTGACAAATCACACTCCGCTTCGCAGTCGTCCGATTTATCAGTCACTCGTATGATTACAGACCGAATTGGAATCTGCTCGGTCATATTACCATTAGTAATACTAAAAAAAATAGATCAGGCCTAAAAGATAGTCTTGATTAGCTAAATCAAAGAAAAGTCTCTTAATCCTGTCTAAAGTTAAACAATAGGTGATCATTAAAGTCAATCGTCAAAGTCATGCAGACGAAAAAACGTGCTCCCCAACACGCAGTGCGAATTGTTTATTTTCAAAGATACATATCTACTCCCTAACCGGCTTTCTTTAATTTCTTTCTACAGGTTGCACTTGCAATTGTGCTGTTACGCGAGAAAGTACAGTCAAGGAAAATTCGACTGGAGAGGACCATTGCTTCGTATTATAAAAGAGTGAACAAGTGTGATGGAGGAAATCTGATAAAGATTTATACAGACATGTGTCAAGTTGTAAACGGAAAGAAGCAGTGCAAGGTTTACTGCAATGGCAGAACCGACTTGGACCAAAACACCAGTGAGTATTAAAGAATTATAAGAAATGTTGATATAGAAACTAGTTGAAACGAAATATACTCGCCTTTGATTCTTGATATCCCATTGATCAGTGAGTTTTGTTTTTCGATGCCCGAAAAGTAATCGATATGGAAAGAGTGTGGAGATAGGTTTGAAGTCTTGTCTCCTCAATATCCAATCCTTTTCAGACTGGATCGTTTGGATTTAGCAGTAAGTGTGATATCCCTCATATTTCAATTGTAATACTGCCAAATTACTGTCAAAAACCTTATTAAGGAAACTTCCTTTGCAGTCGCGTTTGCGTCTGCAAAGCCGTACCCTATTAAAAAAGAAGCAAAATTGTCTTTCTCAGCGAATAGCTAGTCCAATGATGATAACAGTAACCAGATAGTCGACCGTTACGTTCTCCTATTAATCCGTCTATTTCCTTTCAGTATTTGACATCGTGAAGTGGAAAGGTAAGAAGTGCATTCAAAAAAGAGTCGGACTCATCACATACTCGTTGAAAGTCATCAATGGAACGAACGTAGTTTTTGAGGTGAGTTTAGTGCGCTAACACAAAATGGAAAGGAAAACCAACTTAGTTGATCGTTGAGATTCACCACTCATGCACAAGTCCCTGCTTCTTCATTATTTCTTTGCTTGACTACTCAAAAGCAAATCAAATAATGGAAATAATGATGATAAAATAATAATGAAATAGTTGGGACGAAAGTGATGAGAAAGTGATGATAACGACTACGGCTATATGATGACGATAATGATGGTGCTGCAGACAGGAAGGTTGTGGCACAATATTAGAAACAACAGCAAAGAAATGAAACTGGAAAAACAATTTAACGGAATATTTCACAAACATAAGCTCTTGTTTGTCAATAACAAAACCACTTTGACATGAGGGAAATTTTGTTTGCTTGTTAGTTTGTTTACTTGCTCATTACTTAACTGTTAAATTTGTTGTTTTGTAGGAACAGTCAGCGTGCAACGAATCAACCGGCACTGAGTTCTTGTTTAAAGAGGAAAAAGATGTATCGACAAATACCTTTACATACAAATACATCTCAAGCACTAATCAAGTGATGTACATCGGAGTTAATCATAACTGTACTGATAAGAACTTATATGTTTTTTTTCCTAGAACCGTGAAAGACAGGCGATTTTACATGAATAGAAAAAGGGTTATGAAGCGTCAAAATTTTTGTAGTTTTTACGACAGTTGTTTATTTATTTAGACAATGGCCCATTAAACTAAGTTTGTGAATTCCCTGAGTGTTTCATTCAAAGTATAAGAGGATTGAATTTAGGTCAGAATATATATATATATTCAAATACAAATCAACTACAAACCAGACGTTGGGCCTCGGAGTGAGTGGCAGCTAAACTTATGATAATTTATTTCTTCATTCCACAAATAAGCAAAACGAACGAGGACAGGGGGTGGGAGCCCGAGAGGAGCGGGAAGCGGGAGCAGAAATTGAAAAGGCAGTCGTTTGTTGTTAATTACCGCTAAAAATCCAGTCAAAAACCCGCACCCAACCGCGTTTTTTTATTTTTATTTAAGCTCCACCGAGGTTCAAAGCAAATTTTATATGCCAGAAAACGCAAATTTGTACTCAGCATTGACACCGATGAAATTGGGTACCTTTCGAAGTCTGTTACGTTAGAGGTCATATGAATGATATGACATGAAACATGTACACATTTGTCAGTGTCTCGCAAGCTGTAGTAGTCGAAATTCTCTGGCGAACAAAGCCAGTCAGGAAGATAGGGCGTCAAGAGCTATATTGATCAGCCTCAGTATGTTTCGTTGTGGCAACACAAAATTAGTCCATAGAGGACCTTGTTTTTTCAAATACCTTTTGTCAAAATCAGACAATCACATAGCTGAATCACACCTTTTAACATCCCGAAGAAAAGTCCGAATAGTTTTAAAATACCATAACCAGCCGAAGAGTAATGTAAGATGATTCTCTAACAGCACTTAAACTGGACGCGAAAGATCGTGACTGTCATAAAAGACACGGAATATTTCGGAAAACTTTTGGGCTGGATGAAGTCGCAGAGGAAGTTTTAAGGTTTAGTTCAGGAGACAAAACACAAAAAAGGAAAAGACAAGGAATGGATTGAAAATATACATAGTTAAGCGAGCGACTAGCATGAAAATGCGTGAACTTTGACTGAGTTGTTGTATCTTGACTTTTGTTTTTATTTTGGGCCAAAATATCGCGAAAGTGACGGAGTTCTGTATGTCTGATATTTCGTAGAGTTTTACCGCTTCCGCTTTGTGCTGAAATAAAATTTATCCTCTGCCATCCGGTAAGCAATTTGTGGTCGTCGACGACGACTAATTATTTACCCCTCCACCGAAGCAGACTATAATTGTCATTGAAACCATTGCCGTCTATTTCAAATTTCACGCTGAGTTATTCAGCCTTGGGTCGGCACTTGAAAATATGAAAAAACGCACCGGAAAAAGCATCCTCTTGATCCCGGATAATTAGATACATCTCTTTAATTTTTGGTTTCAGCTTTTAGTGTCGAAACCACTCAGTGGAAGTTCCGTTACTCTAAAGGGGCATTTAATTAGAAGAATGAGACTATTCAAAACCATACGCTGGAACCAAAAATTATTTGTATATTTTTTCTTTGAGAGTAGCTTCAAAATATTTGAACATTGTATTGTCAGAGATTTCAGATGTATGTTTACTTCCTCATAGCTAATCTATCTTTGTATCATTCTTTCCTTTTTGCCGTTTATCTTTCATTTGTAGTATTTGGATATTTTAATTTGCAGCTTTTATGCGTCTTCGTTGAGTCTGCTTCAGGTTTTGTCCTCTTATCTCTAGGACGTGCGACATTTTCCGTATTAAAACCGACTCCATTCCGTAAAAAATCGTCTTGATACGTGAAAGACATGTTTGCTGACAAACTATGGGGCTCAATTAAATACTTTGGCCATTAATTCAGGCTTCCCGGTAGTGGAATTTGTGATTTGTGTAGATCGGCGACAAATATTGTTATGGTCATGGTCTCAGCTAGAATTGAAATAGCACATACTTAATGTACTACAGAATTGACAAACTCGCACAAAAATCGCACTTATCAAATGTACTATATTCGTTAAATTTTGTTTCACTGGCAAAAAAGTCAATCTATCCTATGTGAAATATCATAGACGTCGGGTGCCATCGTGGATTGACAGTTAAATAGTGTTTTAATTTGTTACGGTTTGATAAGCGAGTCAGTTTTTTTTTCACTTGCCACTGTAATTCCGGGGGTGTTGCGTAGGTGAAGACTTGTATTGAAACTCACATTTTTGAGGTGACCGTAGACATTTAAGTTTGCAGTAATTATCAGTAAGATAACCTTTTGAGTACCTTTTACATATTTCTCGAATTGCCTCCCAAGCTACCGTGAAGTAATTATGAGTAGCAATTAAGTCAATCCTTAAAATCCGATCATAATTGAAATAGATGAAAGGGGCGCATTTAATTCTAGCTAGTCCCTGACGTATCCCACGGTTGTTGTTTTTCGCTCTCTCTATTATCTATGACTTTGTGTAGTACTGGTACTGTTAACTTCAGGGCGGCATGTTAACTGTAGATCAGTCTGTCAGTTTGTAATTCAAATGGTCAAATTTTTTTCTTTATCTGTTTGCCTTGTTGTCTATTCAAAGAGCAGTTTTGTGTCACGTGATGTAATATAAAAGCTACTCTTTGAAGAAAATATTTAACAAATGAATGAATCATTTATAGTCTGTTTCTGCCGTAAAGTATGCCTGAAGTGGCCAGAGTAGGGAAAAAAGGTTTAGACCTGATCGAGTGTTTCTAATTACTCCCTTCCTTTTGCTCTCCAAACCGCTGCGCACCTATGAGAATGCACCATTAATTTTTAACATATTTTAGCGATGATAACAAATTAGAAGAACTTTATGAAAAGGCATCTTTCCTTGGGATCGTATAAAATGATGCTAAACTTCACATTTTCCATCACTCAAGTTTTGGAAATAACGAGTTAGATCTCTCCCAGATTCCACATTAGACTTCGCTCCATCACGTGTCATTTCCCTGTAACCAACCTGTATTTAATCACGTATTCTAACCGCATTGCCCAACACCACTGAAAAACAATTCAAATGGAACTAAATGCCACTGATAGTGAATTTTCCACGCAATTCTCCCGTGATAATGAAGTCATGTCGCGTTAATACGTTGATGCATAGTCTTGTGTCGCCATCAACAATCAGTGAAGTGACTCTAAACAAAAGGTTACACATATCTAACGCAACTGTTAAAACTTCCTTATAAAACTTGCATATATTAACAGAGAAAACGTCAATGAAACGGGTTTCGTAGAACAACTAACATTTAATATGATAAAGTCAAGTATGATAACAGGGAAATACTTAACGATTGTTGGAAGGAAACCTAATATCAAAAGAGAAATGAAAACAAGGTCATACTAAATTATATTAGTACAAGATCCTCTACTCGAAGTTTAGAGAAAGTCTTTTCTTTCAGACTGGTCGAAATCTTATGTACAAGAAAACTGCTTGTTTGGACCTCAAGTTCCTGAATTTTGAGACAACTGGCTATTTTACAATGATGTCACATCATGACCAAATGAAAAACGTTTGTCAAACTTTTGCGAAGCTCAACTGATCTCTAATGAAAGAGAAAACGGAAAAAAAGGAAGAATGTTTTCCTATTAATACTATGATGTGACACGAAACTTTGTAATCAGAAAGGGCGACACCAGAGGACAACAACCCTCATAATGGAGAGATAGAGCAGGCTTTAGGAAGGTCTTAAATAGCTAAATAAAAGAAATATCTTTGAATCCTGTTACAAGTTAAACAATACATGTGGGTGCACCCAGACGACAAAGGTGCTTCATAAAACGGTGACCGTGCAAATTGATTGCTCTTAAATATACAGATCTGTCACATCATGAAGTTCCTCCAGAAACACAGAGTGAGTCCAACTTAGTTATTCACCATTGTAACAGGTACCCTAGTCGCTCTCAAATCCCTTCCTCTCTAGATCGCATTTGTAAATATTCAATTATCCGAGAAAGATCAATCAAGACTGAAACTACTGGTGACGAGTATTGGTTCTGTTTTTAAAAGAGATAATTGATGAGGTGGAGACTGGCTGAAGGTTAACTGCGATGACAGAGACACTTTCGACCAAAACAGAGTGGGTATCAAATAATTTTTTAAATACTAATGATGTAGTACTCGTAGAAACATAAGATCAGTGCCTTCGGTTATTGTTTCTCATGGTTCAGGGATTTCATAATAGTTATAAATTGGTGACTAGATTGCGAAGTAAAATACAAATGACAATTTATATTTTAATAAAAATCTTTTATTCTTTGCACACTTAAGAAATTAGATTCATCCAAAGACTCAAAATACAATTGACGAAATCCATTGATTTGGCCACTGTCTTTAAAAATTCAGAACTTTGTGAAATCAACATACAGTCAAGACCATCTCTCCATGAAACACCGTTTGTCTTGATTAGTTGTGGAAAGAAAATATAGATTGTCATCAGAGCAGTTGGCACTAACTCCGAGGTACATGGCCTTATTGGTACTCGAGGTGTATTTGTATGTAAATTTTCCGGCGGTATTTTTCTCCTCTTTGAATAAGAAGTCATGGCTGGTTGCTGTGTCGCACGCCGACTGTTCCTACAAAAACAACAAATTTAACACTTACATATAATTTTCAATGAAATAAACTTCATTTGACCTGCGGATGAAAATCAAGTAAAGCTGTAATCCTCGCAAGTGAGCTGCAATTTACGCAATTGCAGAAAAAAAGCCTGAAAAAAAATCGAATGTCTTGTCGAAACCTGAATTTTTTGCAGGCCTCTTTTCTGCATTTGCTTATTGACACATAATTTCTCAGTTTATTTTCTTTGCTATTGTCAATGATATTGTACCACAACTTTCCTATTTTCATCGTGATCGTCGTTGTGATTATCATTTTTATTTTAAAAGTTATTTATCGGTTAAAGGTCGTGATCGAGACCTTTGCCTCTAAATGCTGCCCAACTGGCAAAACAAAACATATTACAACGAAGTCAAATAAAGATGTGTTAGTCAACTCGTCACGCGACCAATAGGAGAGCGCCCGCTGTGGAGGGCTGGATGGGAGAACACGACCCGCTCAATCAGATAGCAGGATTTGTAGAATACTGCCCACTCATGCATAGAGAGCAAAATAATAGTATTTATTATTTTACAATTGTTATCATTACCATAACCATGAGTTGATTTGCTTATGAGTAGACAAGCAAGAAAATGGGGAAAAAACAAGGACTTGAGCACTTATAATAGACCTAAACGACCAACCTGAGTAGGTTTTGCTTTCCCTTTTGTATTAGCAATCTAAACTCACCTCAAAAATTACGTCCGTCCCATTTATGACTTTCAACGAATATCTGGTGTTTCCGTCCTGAAACTGAATACACTTCTTTCTATTGTGCTTCACGATCTCAAATCCTGTAAGAAGAAACATATCAATAATGAAAAAACGATTTTGGAAGGACTTCGACTATCCACTACTTTTATCATCATCGAATCAGCCAGTCACTGAGAAAGACGACATTGCTTTTCGTGCAGATGGTTTTTGTAAATATATGTAAATGTATAATCGCTAATGCTTTGTATTAAGCAAATCTGCCATCAATGTTATCATTTACACGTGATATATTCTACTTCTTAGTACAAATAGAAATATTTAAAACTTTTTGAAGTTTTCTTGAGCTTTATTTGTTGCTATCCCCGAGGGACCGAGCACTCAGAACAGCTTTGGCCATCAGTTATTGTTCATGGCAGAATTGACAATTATGTGTTGGGGAAATATCGAAGAAAGTGGCGTAATTTTGGAGAAAGGCTGAAAGCAAAAAGCGTTTCTGAAATGTTGCATCTGACACAAACTTGGCGGGCAATTTTTTCAAAGAACTCGATGCCAACTCCGATCATGTCATCGCCATTTTAACAGAATTTTAAATCATGTTAAGAATAGGAGAAATGGTAAGTTTAAGTTCGGTTAAGAAATAGAGAGAGAATTTTTATTTTCCCTTCGTCACGAGCGTGGGACAAAGAAAAATTCTGGGTCCCCGTGAGGAATCGAACCTCAGACCTTTGGATTCCGCTCTCCGATGCTTTACCACTCTTGTCATGCCATCAGCATTGCTGATCCTAGTAGTATGCAGGAAGCGTGTCATATGAACTTCGTAATAGACCACGCTCACCGTGGAGTCTCTGTGGCTCAGTGGTAGCACGGAGTATTGGAGCGCGGAATTCGAAGGTCTGAGGTTCGATTCCTCATGGGGACTCAGAATTTTTTCCTTGTCCCACGCTCGTGACAAGACGAAAAACCATCGTTCTATATTATTATATTATTCACGCATCTGCTAAAACTGTCATCAATAGATATTTCAGTTCGAATTTTGTCCCAACTCAGCCTGTTTCCAACTGATAATGGACCAAATGTCACAACTACGACTTTGGTTTTACGTAAAATGAATTAAAATCATCTTAATGGCGAGTAACCAAACCTACTCCTCCTAAATGGTACTTTACTGATAATATAGGGATTCCTAGCGTTTAGAGAGATGGGTACGGTTGTGCAAGCTGGCATCTGTGACTTTAGGAAGATTATAATATTCCATGAGCTAAGGTAAAAGACCGAGGCAAAAAAACCAAGAAATAAAGGAAAAAACAAATTTTGAATTTCTTTTCTCCTCACTGAAAATTTTGCGGGTTACAAAGTACTCGTAGGCATAGATCTGACTTTAAACCTTCAAATGCCTCCAGTCACGGCTAAATCGCTTCTATATTGAAACGATTTTATTAGGGAATAGTTGTCATCGCCAACTGAATTTTAACGAAAGAAATCGGCCACAATGATGAAATCAAATGTGTTACAATCAGTTCCTTACTTAATGTGGATGTTAATCTTTTTCAAATGAGCGCCTATGCTTGCCTGTGCGTCCTGGCTTTTTAGTTTTTTAGATGATATGGAACCTTAAATTTAATTGTCCTGGTGGCAAAAAGTAAATCTTGTCTAAGCCCTTTTTTTGTCAGCAATATCCCAGCGTCAAAAGGCACAGCCATTTAAAACTCCTGAACAATGAAAGCTACAAGAACTAAGCCGTAAATGTTTTTTCAAGGATAGTGTATATTGTAATCATGTAATACCCACTTGTCTGTTGGTCGAAAGTGCCTCTGCCATTGCAGTAAACCGGACACTGCTTCTTTCCGTTTACAACTTGACATTGGTTTGTGTAAATCTTAATCAGATTTCCTCCACCAAAGCATGTCTCTCTTTTAAAAGACGAACCTATGCTTCTTACCACTGGAATGTAACTCGATCCTGTTTTTTCGTGCGACAGCACAACTACAAATGCAATCTGGATAGAAAGAAATTGAAAAATCCGGGTTAGAGAACAGCTCGAGTACCTTTTGCGGTTCTTGACGGTAGGTAGGCCACAATTAGAGGAACTTGATGATGCACTAGATGCGTAAATTTGACAACAAAAGGTTGTACAGTCACAGTACGATGAGCAACTTTATCCTCTGCTTGACTGATTTCTAAGAGGTTTTTTTCTTTCACCTATTGCTTAACTTGGATTTTGCCCCCCTTTTTCTATTTCATACCGGTTGAGCTTTAAAAACTTTTTACAAGAGTGTATAATTCAGTTCATGAAGTATCATGGTAACATCGCCAATTCTGTCAAAGTTTAGGAACCTAAAGTCAAAAAAGAGATACACAAAAACGTCGGCCAATCTGAGAGGAACCTCTGTGTAAACTTCGATTGAATTTCTGGTAAAATAAAACTGTTTGCGTAAGTTTTTTTCTATTCTTTCCGAAAGAGTCTTTAAAAGTGACTTCAATTTACTTCCCATGACCTGTTAACTGACACCTTGGCATCTTACGTGTCATTTCCCACATCATCGACTCGTTATTAGTTAATATGAGGAGGTTTATAAAAAAGTGTTGACAGCTCGGTGTTGATACGTGACTGCACCATGCTATTGAAGAATGCTCTTCCGCAGAGTTTCCCAGGAGGACTTAGAAATGTTTAACTGTCACCGGCTTTACCCAATTAGGTAATCATTACTTTGCATAATGAATATAAGTGAAGCGAAACTCACTAAGGTGAAGAACATACGTGATTTTTGAGATCGAAACGTTCCGATTGCTGAAAGTGGGAGCAAAGATTTTAATCTTTGCACCCACTTTCAGCAATCTTAAAAGAAAGATCTTGTCAGTGTGACATGCGTTCATTTGTAGACTTGAATCTGAAATTACGTCTATGATCTGCTTAGAACTCTACGGCAGTGAAAACAACCGGAATTCATATCATTTTTAGGCTTAAAACCATGATCAAAATGACCATAAATTTCTACAAGAAAGCAATTAATAGGCAAGATATATACGTTTTTCAAGTAAAATAAAAGCCCAAAAGTAAGAAAGGTTTTGAAATTCATCAAGGCTTAAAGTAAGATGGCTTGTCCTTTCTGAAAAAGTCAGATCAATGCGTCATCAAGTATTTAATTGTGACAGATCTAACGATTCTTGTAGAAGGCTTGTGTTCAACTGATGTTGAAGTAAATATAACTGAGTTGTCGCAACATAAAGAAAATTTTCTAAAGCCTTTCTTTATAACTAGAAGGGTGTTTTACTCTCTCTTTCGAAATAGGGTGTTTGGTTTTTTTTCCCCGAGGAAAATTAACTAAGGGCAATTATTTAGTGGCCAAACCTTGATCTTTTAAACGCACAATTCAAGATCAGCTATGTAGGCGAAAAAATGTCCAAAACTAAATAAAGTTTGCGAATTTGTTCGAAAAATGAAGCTCTGAATTAGCGAGTCTTTTTACATTTTACATCTACGTGATTTAAAAGATAATAGTTAAAAAGAATTACAATCTATCTGAAACCAACTTTTATTTAAAAAGCAGCTCAGAGAGGGCTGTCTGGAAAAAAAGGCAAGGAAGCTTCGAGAGCTGGAGGCAACGCTTCAGTATTGGTGTGGTGCAGCAAACCCCTTCCTTTTCTTATCCAGTTGCGTAACGAATATCTCAGCCTTTGTTTCCGAAAACACCAAAAGGAGAAAGAATAACTAAATCCCCCATGACCAATGTCTTTTTTTCCTCACCCAGGAGAATTGTTACAACCACATCTGTGATAAAGTTTGCGAACTGATACACACGTCTATGTTAATTGGCAACGCTGTAAGCGCCATGAATAATCAGTGGTGGCAAACGAACTCAGCGCTACGCATAATATTATAATTGGAGATTCAGTTTGTTACTCTATAAAAATAAAAGTCAAGAAAACCCTGATTTACTTACTAAAAAAATCTTTTTGACGTCCATTTTACTCCACCTTCAGGAATCAATCAGAGATCTTGGTACTTGCAACAAACCAAAGTTTTTCAATGGAAATTTTAAGGTTCTACACCCGTTTTATACCGTTTGAAGGGGTTGCACCTTAGAAGTACCTAATTTACCTCTCATACCAAAAAAATGTTAAGAATGGATGGTATATTCTACACACAAGACCTGTAGAGTAAAAGGGAAAGTCGTGAGAAAAAACACACCACTAAATCGCGCCTTTCCTGATAAACTTTTATCACGCTTTAACCACTTCCTGGGTGATTTACAGCAGAACGCCATATATTCACAGCTTCTTTATTCAATGATTGCATTTCGCGGAGTTTGAAATTGCTTACATTCCGTCATCTGCAAACTTGTTTTATAGTTCACACAGTTTTCTGAGATAATACAGCTGAAAGAACGTAAACTTTGTTTTCTTTGTTTCGTCGTAATCAAATTCAGCTACTTTTCGTGACATCTCCCCGCACACTCCCCGCGCTTAGTTTAGAGCGCTTGTTCGTTGTCGGTTGGGGAAATCCGCCACCTGAATGGTTTGGCCAAATTATTTTAGTAAAAAAAAACGCCGCACTGAAAAAATTAACCAGCCAAAAAAACAACGGAACGCCTAACTAACTGATTGAATTACACTCTTAAGCCTGCTCTCACAGAGAGTTACAAATTTTAGTCCAATATGAAGCTCCGGATGGATGAAATAAATGGAAAAAAATAGCAACAAAACAAAACAAAACAATAAACAAAGCAGAAAAAAAAGAAAAAAATCAAAAGCAACAATTAAAAAAAAAACAAACAAACAAACGCATAACGTTGGAATAAGTGAGAGATTAGTGAAAATAACACCCACTCGAGTTTTATTCAATTATGATTCGACTTAAGAGATTAAATTAATTGCCTCTTAAAAATATTTACTACTAGCCCTGGTAACAAAGGTCAAAAGACACGTAACTTGTTCTTGACAATTTTCTGTTAAATAAATTTGAAAACCTTAAATTTCCACGATAACAGTTATTTTTGAGATCAGTAACTTTTTTACCGGCGACGTACCAGCCATAATAAATGATTCACCGGCATCCATGATTTTAGGGTTCATTCGCCGCTATCCCTGTTGACATTTTATGGAGAGGTCGCACGGAAGTTTTTTCCTTTGCCTTGCACGTGCAACTACAGGGATTATAATCAATAACCCTTACTTCGTTCTCGAGTGGGCGAGGAGGGGTTGTGTGGGTTTCTACTGATCCGAAGGACTCAGATATTTCTGTTATTCCTCTTGATTCTCTCCTGCTGAGGTATTTTAGTCAAGCTCATGTCAACTTTGCCACACACACACAAGGAATTTATGAACTATACACTCTTGTTTAGGCGGGTTAATAGCATCTTTAGTTGTAATAAGTTGGATCTTAGCGTCATCTTCGACTTGAAAACACCGCATATGCCTTGTTATTGTAGACAATCACAGACATATTGACATATCCTTTGAAATCGGTCGAGTGTTAAGCATTTCTGAGCGCTCTCCTGGTCTTTTTCAATCTCCATTTATTAAGAGGAAGGATAATCACTCGAAGTGATATCAGATAAAAGATGTTTCTGCGCCTTTGAGATAACAGAGGGTTTTTCTAGGAGAGATTCTACATTTTCTAAAGGTTGAGAGATGGTGCAATTTTAAAACCATTTATTTCATAAATTGAAAGAACTTCTGTCGGTAAAACGAAAATATAACCATTAGATAGGAAAAGTTAATACCTTTATAACTAGTGCATAATTGATTGTGCTGTTCGGATAATATTTGGGACCTTAGCTAAACCGGTAAGCGAAGGCAAAGAGAGCAGAAAAATGATGCGTTTAAAACCTCGTTCTTCTCCCAGCCGTAACTGCAACGTTTGTTGAGTCTGATAAGTGTAAAACCAATTAAAAATTATTAACCTTTCTATTTAGCTGCCCTCGCATGCCATTTTGCAGGCCAGGTCGAAGAAACATTGAGCATGAATTTGAAGGCTAGTTCTAAATAAGAGAAACTTTGAAAATTGAACTTTAATTATGCTAAACCATCATCATTCAGGAAAAAAATATATATTAAGATAACTTTTGGCATTGTTTTAGTGATTGTGATTTAATGTCTACCTTGGAATTCTAGAACATTTTTGCGCAGGGAAATCTTGTATGTTATTTTGTTGATTCACGCAGTTTTAAAATTTTTTTTGTTTTCCTTTTTATGTTTGGTTCACTTTGAGAATTCAATGACCTTGACCTTGCTTTAGCAAACGCTTACCATAGCTTCGATACAGGTAATTGAGATTTTGATAAAAATCCTTAAATCTAATCATCGACAGTCGCGACATGGTTCCATTTGCCTTGTCAAGAAGGGCACGTAGATTGGAGACTAGGTTTAGCTGTGGTATCAAGGACTTTTAATTCCGTGAATCGCTTCATTCTATGTGTCTTGTATCCAGATAAGAGGTTAAGCGAAAGTTGTAGCTTAAGTTGTACCTCGAAGAAACAACTGTGTTAGGAACGTGTATGTGCAAGGAATACCTTCCGTCAACCACACCTTGTAAAGATCGTCGTGTTTGTCAGCTTTACCATACATAGTCTTACGCACTACGCAAAACCTTCGCAATTCCGTAAGCGTAGTTTGCTCAACTTTTCCCATTGAAACCTGTAATTAGCAAATTAAGTACAATAGGAACAAAGGGGGCGGTAATCCATTACCAGCCCTACTGTTGATGTGACTGAAAGATGATTACTCTTGAGACACTGGGCATGAGCCATACTCGATCATAATTTGTGTTAATGTTCCTCTACAAGCAAAGTTACATAACTGTGACGAGTGTTTAAGAAAACAGTAAAAAAAAAAAAATTAGAAAGCTTTGAGAAATTATGAGAAGCATCGAAACATGATTGCAATTTTTCCCAAGTAGAACCTGAAGCAATTCCTGAAAATTGAAACATTAATTTAAATGTGGCGAAAAGTCAGATGTCTCGATGAGAGTTTTCATTACAATCTCTTCGGAGTTTATATTCCTTATCTATTCATTAAGATAATAACATTGCTAAAGTTGTTAATTTTAAAGTAAACATAATCTTGAAACTAATAATGCTTTAAAAACAACTTCATTTTATCCTTGAAATGCTTCCTATTTGTTCTCAATAAGAGTAAGGGTAATTTTTAGGGCTAAAGTTGTCATGTGCTATTGAGGAAAGCCAAAGATATCAGAGGGTAACTCACATCTTTTTCATTAAAGTACAACAATTATAAATAGAAATACGATGTTTTTGTTTTTCAGAGGTGAAAACACAAATATATTCAGGCCAATTTAATGTTCAATGAAACTGTTGATCTCTTGCTGCTTATCACGCAATTACACCAACGAGTCCAAAGGAAACGTTCGCGGGAGATTAATCGTCCAGGATTGTATGGGAAAATGTTGAACATGATGGTGGAATTTAAAAACGATAGTAATTTTTAGAAGAAACGCCTTGCTAATCCATTCTGTGGGAAATGCACGGCTTAACTCAAACCTGCAGGGAGGCCTTTTT